TGTATCAGGTTTCTTCTCCTCCCCAATGAGATACCCTAATTTTCCACGGGCACCAATAGCCATCTTAGCTGATTGTGCCCACTCCAAATAATTTGTACCATCAAGTTTGACTGTAGTAATGATCCCAGACCCAAAAATATCACTACTACCTCAACACCCAGTCCCACAATACCGGTAGATTTCACCTCGGTATTCCAACTCTCCATTTTACTTCAAACAGTTCAACAGTAAGAAAAAAATAGATTGGAGACCTTCAAAAAATAATTTAATACCACACACACAGAAACCAACCCTTCCGGAAGAAGAAAACCCTAGCTGGAGGGAAATCTCTTTCCTCCTCACGCCTCCCAATAGAGAGAAAAGTGAATTGATCACTCTGGGAGGCCTAGAAAATTTCAGAAACCAAACCGCCCTCTTCAGAAAATCAAAACAAAACTAACAATACCTGGGCGCCCAAGATCAGATMAAAAACAAAGAGTCCAACTTTTCTGGAACTCTTCCCCATACTCCAGTTCTTCCTAATTTTGATGCCGAACAGTAGATCACCTTCCTGATGTCTAGGATCCCACCAAAAACTCCAAGAACTGGGCAATCTATAGCAGATCGATCAGCCCTTTACTACTTCATGCARTCGGCTGATCTAGGGCTGCATGAGAATGCTTCAAGAAACCCTAGCCGATGCTCTGATACAAAGTAGGAATCTGCTAAATTAAAAAATATGAAAGAAAGTAGTTTCTTGAAGAGAGAAGGAAGAGAGAAGAAGAGAAGTTGAAAAGAAAAGAGAGCAATGATCCGGTCGCCCCCTTCACTTATTATTTATACTAAAATAATAGAACAGTACAAAGACAATTATGCCCTTATAGGGCGGTAAAACATAAAACAGCATATATAACACTCAAAAACATAATAAAATTTGGACTCGCATAACTACTATGGTCCCCACCTCCTATCTAACGACTAACATAAAACATCTACTCAGAAAAACAGCATAAAACTAATTAATCTTCAACAACATGTAATTCACTAATTAATGGCACCTTTCAAGTCCTGAACTTCATTATAAAGTCTCCGGTTTTCTGCAAGAACAACATGATAATTTTCAACCATATCCTCTAATCCTTTAAGCTTTTTACCTGCACAAATTAAATGTTGAGAAAATAAATGGGCATGCCAATATAACTGTAATAAGAATCTATTTGATTAACAAACCCTACCCAAGCGACTAAATTCTTCTACATAGGTTTGTTGTATAGTTATAACCTCTTGCTTGATGGACTCAGAAGCTAACCTCAGTTCCTGAATAGTTTCAAAGCATGAATGAAAGATCTCAACTGTAAGATCTCAGAAAAGAATGAATATAAGAGTTCAGAACACAGTAAGCTTAGCAAACCTGAAGAGCTTCAAACTGAGACTTTATAAAACTCTGGTAGCTGCATTCCTTTTCCTTCCAATTTTCATCTTTGGAGTTGGAAAATGCCTCAAGCTCTTTAACTTCCTCCTGTGAAGCTTTTAAAAGGCATTCAAGTTCCTTTAATCTCTCCTCCAGGTCAATTTTATTTCCATTGACCTCTGCTTCCAACTGCAAGCAACGCTCTTCGTAAGTCCTTTTGGCCACTACCAATTCCTGCTTCAGGGAAGAAATTTCATGATTATTGAGGTCCTTCTCTTTTATCAGTCTAAGCACATCCTGCTCATGTTTCTTTGTCTCTTCTATTTTGGGCTTCTCTGTCTGCAATGAGCAAAAGATAATGAGAATACTAATGTTGCAATTAAATATGCAAATACATATTGCATGTAAAGTAATATGTTGAGTATATGCTTAATATATTGTAAGGGTAGTTTAATCGCTATATTGTTTGTTAGAATACTAGAGTTATATTTTTAGCATTTTATTATAATATACACCTTTCTTGGGTTGACTAGAAAGAATAGGTTGAATATCTATTGCTCTCCCTCTTTTCTATTTTGTTTTTTTTTTCTTTTTAGATAAATAACAGATTGAATTTCATTCATAAACAAGGATTACAAGTTAACCCAAATGAGTAAGAAGAACAGAAACTGCAAAACAGTGGAAAACCGACCAAAACCCACATAATACATATAACAACAGTTATAAGTTGTTCTCAAGACCTGGACATCCCCAATCCAAAAATGGCCTTGAAGTTCCTGATTTGGCAAGTCTAGCAGCCAACTCATTAGCACTCCTTAGTATCCATCTGAACGAGCAGTTCAAGATTGTTTAAGGATTTGGCTTCCCTGACTGGGAATAGGAAAGTCCATGGAACCACAACTTCTGATTGCAGCCAAGATGTAACCCCTTTGCAGTCCTCTTCCAGAATAAAATCTTTCCAACCATTCATTTGTGCTAACTTTAATCCTTTTGTTACCACCATCAGTTCTGCCATTAAAGAGTTTCCTAGCTCAGCAGGGCCACAAAAACTTGGCTGATTACTAATTACCTATTCTGGTATGGCTTTCCATCCTCTCATTAGATCATTCATTGACAAGGTTTAAAATGTCAGTTGTTGGTGGAAATATCAGTTGTCAAACTATAGGAAACATATTGTAAAAATGATACACATGGTGGAAACATTGTAAAATATGTAAAAATATAGAATGATATTTTACGAAATAATAAAAGAAGCTTAGGAACACCTTTTTAAATTATTATCTTGTTATAAATCATTAAACAAAGCTAAAAAACTAAAGTTATAGACAAAAGAATATTTTTGAAGTTGTCCTGTAAACCTTAAGATTCAAAACTACATGATAGAATGAGTTAAAGAAAAATTTAAACTCAGAAAATGCAAATGGTTCTAATAGATCAACCAAAATACACAAAAAAAAAACTAATATTTAACTTTTTTATCAATAACTAGGTAAATTCATTCATTAAAACTAATATTTAACTTCATGTACTCTCTCACCAGATGTAGAGAGTACAACATTATTTAAAATGTTAAGCAAACTAATGGCCTCCAAGCATTCCAGATCTCTCAATCCCTTTCTAAAACCCAAATTTCAAATGCAACACCATCAAATCAAGCATAACAATGTAGATAGACACTTTATTCAGGAAACAGTTTTTAAAGGAAAGGTTTATTTACTGTAGAGAGATTGGTCGAATGGGCCTTAGTCTCTTTCCTTTTTATTTAGTTATGCTTATGTTTATCTTTTAAGTAGTGGGCCTTAGTGCCTATTTTCTATATTTTTTATTATTGTTTTAGTGCCGGCCACCCTATTAAGGGTATTCATGGAATTGTACTCAGATTACAATTAAAAAAATAAAAGATATCTTCTTCCTAAGCATCTGCTGAATTTTTTCTTTCCTTCTTTCTCTTTCTCTTGTTATTTTATTTTCTGAATTATTACATGTGTGTTCTGCAACTTTTACCATTTGTTTGATATGATCAACAGTAGGCAAATGTCCTCACTAAAGAGTTGCAAACCCATGAGGTGAAGGCAATCATAGCAAGCTAGGTATAATCAATATTGATTCTCAACTTGAGAGGGAGTGTAGAGAATGAATTTATTTATATTGTTTTTCTAATATACCTATTAAAAACACTTCCTATCCTTTAGTGGGTATATATATCTTTTATTAATAAGGTTATTTTAGTCCTTTCCTATGTCTTAATAAGGAGCAGACGAGCAGTTATGATTTTTCATTTGTCATTGTCACTTTGATATAAATAATGGTTTTTAGAGCAGTCAATAGTTTCAACTCAACAATATGTTTTCTTCTCTAATGAAGATCTTTTTCTACACTACTTTTTCTGCTGTTTGGGAAATCAATTTAGAAGAAGACAGAAATAATTGGTGGCTTACTAAAGTTATTGTCATGATGTGGCTCCAATAGTCAGCCAAAGAATGTAAAGAAAACAAGAAAGAGGAAAGAAAAAGTAACCTTTAGGAGTTGTTTCCTTTTCGGAAACATTCACCAATTAGGTAGTTTTATTTTATTGTTTTTTTAGTAACCTATAATTTTCTAGGTTATTATACAATGAAATGAGGGTAGAGGATGAGTGGAACACAAATGACTTTTGGGAAATAATTATAGCTTCTTTATTTTAGATTTCCTTATGAACCAAGTTTAGTTCTTGGGGTTTTCATACTCACTCTAGAGTCTAGATTTGGAAACTTTTATATGGAATTTCTTTAATTCAAAAGGGTGTTTTTCTAGTGGGGAAGAGGATTGTGCTTTTGCTTCTTTTGAATTTTTATTCCCATTGTAATATCACTGGTTTTCTTTTCAACTTAGCCTATAGACATAAGGCAATTTTCCAAACCACGTAAATCCTGTACTCTTGAGTTTAATTCATTTCTCTATATTTCTGCAGTGCCATCTTAAAAATATTGCTTTTCACAACACTAGATTTAGTAATTTCTAATTTCTATCATTAAGTTAATTTTAGTATAATTACTAGATTTACATAGGTGTCCTAGTTTTGAACAGGAAATTTTTATTAGAGTTTGAATACAAGTAAGAAGTTGCTTTTATGTCTTAGTGGTCCATAAAATAGTGGCAACATATCTTGTAAGGACAGCATTTTGTTCTATATTTTTCCTATTAAGGCACGAACAAAGAATTATTTTGTTTCTACTAGGGGTGAGGAAATGGGTAGGTTCTACTTGGAACCGAATGGAACCAACTTCGAACCAACCCTATCCAATCTGTTACAGGGTAGGGTATGGTTCCAAATTCTTGGAACTGACCCCCACCGAAGTCGGTTTCAGGGTTTAGGGGTTTACCCTACCCAAACCGACCCGATGAACCAGCCTTGGAACAGAATTTACCTTGAAATAAACCCCAAAATATTCTTAAAATTTGAACCTAAGCACTCATGGTTACAAAAGCCATGGTATCACTTTACCATCAAGTTACTTAAGTGATTTGATTATTTGTTTTCATTTTAATATTTGAATGTGTATAATAAATAATGTAAAAGGTAATATTTACAAAATTTAAATTATAATGACACATTTTAAACCATATATTAATATATTATGATAATCTACATATTATAATCAATAAAGATAATATAAGTTTTAAACTATATAATATCATTATTGAAAATCAAGCTTTTAAAAGACAAGTTTCAATTTTTTTCGAAGGGGGAGAGTAAAGAAAGAACAGGTTCCATGGGTAGCATAGTTGTCAAGGCATCGCCTAGGCAACTAGGTGCCCTTGGCTGGGCACCTTGCCCAAACACCTTGACTTTTAGCAACTAGGCGCCATATATATATACTTTGTTTTAATGTTTTACTATTGAAATTTAAAAGATCAAAGGGTTTTGAGAAGAGAAAAAGAAAGAAAGAAAGAAAGAAAAGAAAGAGGAAAGAAAGATTAGAATAATAAAATTTTTTCTATTATCTCTCTCTCTAATTAAATAAAACAGAAGCTCCAACCTTATATTTTTGTTCTATTTTACATTCCATCTTGAATATTTATCGTATAAAGTTGATAACCATCTTTAGCTGCTAATTAATATGAATTTATTTTTTCAATTAACATACATGCTGAATGGTATATAAAACTAGGAAACTAGACAAAAGTCAGATTTGTATATTATAAATTTTTTATCGCCTAGGCAACTAGGCGCCCCAGTGTCGCCCAGAATCGCCTAGACGCCTTGAAAACTATGATGGGTAGACAATGGAACCGACCCTGAAACTGCCAAGGCCAGAACTGACCCTAGAACCGACCTTCACAGGGTAGGTCCGATTCCAAAAACCTGGAACCAACCCCTACAGGGTAGGTTCCATGTTCTGCCATGGAACCAAACCGAATCGACCCATGCTCACCCCGTTTCTACCACTGTTGGCAGCTATAATCCTAAAAATGTGTCTGTCCAGTATCAGACGCAGACAATTTCATTAGCAAAATTTGCAATCATAACAGATGGATCCAAGAACATCTGTATGATTGAGAAAGGAAAACCAGGAACCAAGCAACTCTCCAATTCTATGTTTTTAGAGGCATTTTGCCAGTGAAGAGGTTGAACTGCTTGCTGCTTGATCAACCAGGAACTGAATTGCTTTCCAGTCTGATCTCTGATCCAGATTTCAAAACATTGTGATGTGCATAAAGAAACAGCAGTATATAAAGTGTGCACCAAGGATCTATATTGAAAAAAAAAACAAAGAAACAGGAGAACAAGAGTAATCAATTATCTATGGAAAGCAAAAAATGAGATCGTTGACCAGATTTGGACCTTTGTCTGCTGAAGTTGGTTCATAACAATCTGTACCAGGAAAAAACATTTTCAAATTAAATGAGTGAACACAACTGGTATAATAAAGAAACTAAAATATGCCCATGTCTATAACCTCATCAGTTCAAAATGTACGATTATCAATTGCTCAAGCACCTTGGTCTCCTCATTAGGCCCAGTTGCATAGGTTTCAAGTACTCTGATCCTAGATTGATACTTCTCTTCACGAGCCTTGTAGAGATTGTTTTGCTGTGGAAGCAAGATGATGATAATAATAATAATAACAATAATAATAATAATAATAGTTATAAAGGACAACAAATAATTTAACTTCAAAGAAACCAATTCATTAAAGTATATTACAGTTCTTAAGTGCTCTGCTTGAGTAGAAATCCGCCGTTCAATCTCTTGTACAACTTTTCTCAACAGACATGCCACACGCTGCACAAAGAAAGAATATTTTGCATTAGAGATTCTGTTGTTCCCTTGTTCATTCTTTAATATAAAATTGAAATGTTTGCTCACTATCATACATGAGGTATTTCCCCATTCTTCCTTTCAATACTTTCATCTAAAATTCCATTTACAACACTTAACAGTGACTGAGTAGGAGCATTCTGCAATAAATAAATAAATATCATAATCAAATAAGAAAAAAGGGGGGGAGAGATAATGAATTAGAGGCATGGTATTGATGATTATTCAAGAAAAAGGAATAGGAAATTACATCTAAACTGGTTGATCTCAGCATTTCAGAAATCATAGCAGGAGGAAGATCAGCATAACATCCATGTTTCAATTGAAATACCTCGTGGAATTTATGTCCAACATGATGTATCAATGCAGCTGATGGCTCTACAAAGAATTGAAAAGAAATATCAACTATTTGAAAAAAAAAGCACATAAAGAATTCATCTGATGCACAATCCTCCATTTATCTCATATCCAGGTAGACACGTTCATTTCTAGGCATTACAAAAGTATAAACAATAATATTGTTGTAAAGTTCTATTTTGTGCCTCAGTAGCGTAGGGGCACTATTGTCTTTTTCCATGTTATTATTTCACCCAAATGAAATAATGATAGGGGCACCACCAGATCCATCAGAATTCTTTACCCTATGATTCTCCCTTCTTGTCTTCTTCCTCTTTTCTGTCTTTTCTCTCTTCCCTCTCTGCTCTAGTACCAATTTCATGGTATCAGAGCTACTTTCTGGGCTGCTCTAAAGGTAAGCCCAAGTATTTCAGTGGTCACTCCCCAACATCACATCTCAACAGCCTAGCTAGACCATTAACCTCTTCTCTCAACCTTATTCCCGTCACACAACCCTTAATCCATTTACACTACCTCTCTCCAAATAGAGTAATTCACCAAAAGGAGAGCATTTGGTGAATTGGAATCATGTCTGTAACTCAAAGGAGAAGGAGGGATTGGGTATTTGGAAGTTGAAGATTAGGAACATTGTGGTGTTAGGGAAGTGGCTCTGGAGATTTTGTACAGACCAAGGCAGCATGTGGACCTTAGTATCATCAGCAGGTTTGGACTGCACTCTAATAGGTGGAACAGTAATCTCCTCACCCCCAGTGGTAATGATGTCTGCATTACCAGATAAGTACTTTGTTGGTAATGATGTCTGCATTAAGTTTTGGACAGACCTCTGGTGGGCAGATAAACCCCTTCTGGTTTATATCTCACCAAATAGACCCAACAATAGAGTCTGGATGGAGCACCCTTCTGGTTTGTTCATGTCCTCAGAGACTTCCTCACAGGTCCAAAACTCTCTGTTCCCTGTCAAAAAGCTTTGGAACTGAAGGGTCCCACTCAAAATTTGTTTCTTTTGCATGAGAAGCTTGCATGCGAAGAATAAATACTTGTGATCTTAGGCACAGGAAAATAAGAGGTTGTGTTTATCTCTGCCCTCATGTTTGTGTGTTAAGTTTATTCTTTGATGGCAGCTCTTTGGGTAACCCTGGCCTTGCTGATATTGGAGGGGTCATAAAGTCCTTTAGGGGCAAGATAATTTGGGTTTGCAGTGATCCGATAGGTAAAGCCAGTTCTTTGAAAGCAGAGCTCCTCGCTGCTCTTACAGGTTATGTATTGCAAGAACTCTCGGTCTATCTTCTTTCTCAGTGGTAGGTTACTCTGCAACTGTCATAAAATGGCTATCTGATAGTCAAGGGGACTCCTGGGTTGACCTTCTATCAGTGATCGAGCCTGCCCAGTCGGCATCTGTATACACCTCAACCCCTCTCTTCTCATTTTCCTTGAAGAAGAGTCATTTTCCTGGTGTGCCTTTTAGGCACTTAAGAATTCGATACACAGCTTCAAGATGTTCTTCGTACGGGGAGTGCATAAATTGACTCACCATRCTCAYRGYGAAGGCAATRTCARGAMGTGTATGTGACAAGTAAATCAATCTTCCTACCAGCCTTTTTAACTTCTATCGGAGTATCTGAAGGTTTGCATCCACTCATTCCAGTTTCTTTCAAGAGATCTAAAATATATTTTCTTTGCGAAACCACAATGCCCTTCTTTGATCTTGCCACTTCCATTCCAAGAAAGTACCTTAGCTGGCCTAAGTCTTTAATCTCAAATTCCTTGGCTAAGCTCTGCTTTAGTCTGTTCATCTCTTCAATATCATCTCCAGTCAAGATTATGTCATCAACATAGACAATCAGAACCGAAACCTTGTCTTTGGTGGATCTTTTTGTGAAAAGAGTATGATCAGATTGTCCTTGACTATATCCTTGGTTTAAGTTCATATAGAGATTTTTTTAGTTTGCATACCTTAGTTCCAAACTTCTCAGTGAAACCAGGTGGAGGCTCCATATATACTTCTTCTTCCAAGTCTCCATTCAAGAAGGCATTCTTCACATCCAACTGATTCAGTGGCTAGTCAAGATTAGTAGCAACATATAAGAGTACTCGAACTGTATTCAGTTTTGCCACTGGAGAAAAGGTCTCAGAGTAGTCTACTCCATATGTCTGAGTWAAGCCTTTAGCTACTAGGCGAGCCTTGTATCTCTCCAAGGATCCATCTGAGTTGTACTTCAGAGTGAACACCCATTTACAACCAACAACTGTCTTTCCATCCGRCAGDTCCACTTTCTCCCAAGTAGCATTCTTTTCCAAAGCTCTCATCTCCTCAAAAACAGCTTCTTTCCACTCAGGAACATTTAGAGCCTCCTAGATACTATTAGGAATGGATACACTAGACACTTGTGAAATAAAGGCACAATATGAGGGTGAAATATTTTTGTAAGATACAAATTTTAACAGAGGATGTTTGTACAAGACCTAACACCCTTCCTAAGAGCAAAGGGAAGACCAAGCTGACTGGAAGAATTAGAATTACCTGGAGGAATATTTTCAGGGATTTTTTGAGAATCATCATGAATTTCATGATCCAACCTCAAATCAGATTCTTGTTGATGCTGCGGAATAGTGCCTCTCCTTTTATGTGCTAGATATTCCCTTGAATATACAAGGCCTTTATACT